TTATTCATGAAAATGAAGATTTATAAAAAATAACTCAAATATTATTTCTGCACGATAGACAACTTATATACTTTGTTACCATCGAGAAGAAAAAGATTACCAAATTTATCAATTCGAATTGCGGTTGGCGAATGAAGCATAAGTTTTTTTAAATCATCTTGAAAACCACCAATAATTCGACTTTGATTTGTCACTATATTTAATTGAGTAATAGTATACTTATATGTATCAATATAATAAAGATATCCATTACAATCCATTGTTATTGCTATAACATACGTTAAATTTCCTACGACTGTCGTACCTTCCGTTGCATTAGCTGTCCATTTTTGAATACGTTTATTGTTCCAGTCAGCTATATATAATGTCAAATCATCGGTAACAACAAACCCCACTGGATCGAATAAATCAGTCATTTGGTTTGGATTGTACTGATTTTTTCCAGCGAGAAAAATTTTTTCCATATAATCTGTTGATGCTAACCACTTCCTAATATAAAATCTTGTTCCAATATATATATTCATTTCTTTATCCAATGTAAGATGAGGGCGAGCTTGCCCAAATAAATATTCACCTTCTTCACTTATTAAAATTTTTCCATCATTTTCATTTTTCTTCCATAAATGAATTCGATAAGATGCATGATATTGTAATCTACGTGCGTATTTTTGACCAAAATCTATAATATACATATCCTCTGTATTAGTATCAACAAAAATAGATTGTGGTGAAATAAGATCTTGATTAGCAACAGTAATACCAGTTGCACCTACTTCTGTGTCATAGATTTCATTTAACAAATATTTTAGTATTCGATCATTATTCGTATCAACAACATAGAGAGTATCATGAATATTATCAATAAATAGATCGCTTGGACCACATAATTCATTTTCATTTGAAAGACATCGACCATGTCGATTAATAAATAGTGTACCTTGTGTATTCCATGTTGCATTTACAGATGGGATAGAACATGATTTTGATGAAAAAATAGGTGCTTCTATTGATGCTAAATAA